CGGGGCAGGCGGGAATCGAACTCATGAGGAAGCGGCTTTAGATTCTCAGTGCTGTGCTTTAACCCACTGCGCCACCAGGGAGGGCCTCTACCAAACTTTTAAAGGGAAGAAAATACTTATCTTGCTCAAACTCTTTCATAAAATATGAAAAAAGGGACTACTTCTAAAGACATTTTATAAGGCCTGATACTTTGATATTGAAACCAAATGGCAGCACACAAAAATGAATATTACAGACCAATTTCACTAATTAATGGACTCAAAATCCTCAAAAAATCTAGGAAAGGAAATTCAACAATACAAATGAAAGGATTATACACCATGACCAAGTAGTATTTAAACCAGGAGAAGCAGGATAGTTTGATATCCAAAAATCAATTAACATAATTCACCACATAAATAAAAGATAAAAAACACATGATCATATAGCTCGATACCAAGAAAGAATTTGATAAGATTCAACATACATTTATATGCAAATTATCAAAAACTGGGGATGATAATACCTCAACAAAATAAAGACTACATACGACAAATCTTTAGCTAATATCATTATCAATGGAGAAAAATAATGAAGGTTTTTCCACTAACATCTGGTACAAGACAAGAATTCCCACTTTCCCCTCTACTATTCAACACAGTGTTGAAAGTTCTAACTAGAACAAGTAGGCAAGGGAATGATATAAAAGAAATTCAAATGTGGAAAGAAAAAATAAAGCTATCATTTATTTGCAGACAACATAATATAGATAGAAAATCCAAAAGACTCCATTAAAAAACTACTTGAGATAACAAACCAGTTCAGCAAAGTGGAAGGTTACAAACAATACCCAAAAATCAGCTTCCCTCCCATATACAAACAATGAGCTAGAAGAGGAGATTAAGAAAGCAATCCCATTTCCAATTACATCAGAAAGAATTCAATACCTAGGAATAAGCTTAACAAAAGTGAAGTAACTACAAAAAAAAATTATAAGACAATTTGAAAAGAAAATAGAAAATGACACCAAGAAATGCAAAAATATTCTTTGTCCGTGACTTGGAAAAATTAACATTGTCATTCTACTCAAGCAATATATAGATTCAATGCAGTCTCCATCAAATCCTCAAAGGAATTCTTCAAAGAAACAGAACAAAACCAAACTGAAATTCATATGAAACGACAAAAGATCCCAAGACTAGCCAAACTGGTCCTGAAAAAAGTGAGACCGAATGGTGACATCACACTCCCGGACTTCAAATTTACTACAAAGCTATCACAATCAAAACAATATGGTACTGGGGTGAAAAAACACATAAAGGCCAGTGGAATAGAATTGAGAGCCCAAAAATAAACCTATACCTATGTGGAGAGTTAACCTATGATAACAGAACCTAGAACTAACACTAGAGCAAAGGAAATCTCTTCAATATAAAGGGCTGGGAAAACCGGACAACTGCACACAAAAGAAATTATAGTACCATCTTACAGCATCCACAAAAATCAACTCAAAATGGATGAAACTTACATGTAAGACCTAAATCCACAATACACAGAAGAAAACATAGTCAAAACACTTCACAACATAGGCTGCAAATATGTATTTGTAGATTTGTCTCTAACAACAAGCCATTTTTTTCTTCATAAGAGAATATAAACAATTCGGGCCATACAAATAAAAAAGCTTCTGCACAGAAAAAAAAAAAAAAAGAAGGTCATTAAAACAGACACCCTATCAAATGGGAGAAAAAAATTATATACCATACATCAAAGATGGTGCTGATATACAAGATCTATAATGAACTCACCCCACGTCAACAAAAACAAGGCAAACAATTCAATAAAAAAATAAAATAAAGGACAGAGAGCTAATTAGCCACTTCTCCAAAGAAGACATTTAGTCAACAGGCACGTGAAAAATGTGCCTCAAATCAAAACCACCTTACAATCACAAAAATGGCCCATATCAAAAAAACTAGTAATCACAAATGCTGGTAAAGATGTAAAGAAAAAGGAATGCTACTACAATCTTTATGAGCATATAGACAGTTCCAGCTCCTATGAAAATCAGTGGGCCTCCCTGGTGGTGCAAAGGGTTAAGTCTCAGCACAATGAAACTATCAGCAGCCACTGCAGCACAAGTTTGATCTCCAGCCAGGGAGCTAATCCACATGGTACAGCAGACCTCTCCTGTCTCTCCTACTGCTCCCATCAGCAGTGTATTTCAGTCAATCCACCTTTTCTGCTGCCCATGCTGTCTCCGTATATTCCCTCACCTTCTCTCCCCACACACACCTCTGGCCTATACCCCAGTTCTTAGATGTATAAATAAAGTAAATGTTAAAAATTAAAATTAAAAATGGTTGTACTACATGGGTGATTTGGTGATGGGAAGCCCAAGGGGATTGCAACTGAGATGGAAAAATGCACAAAATGATGTAAAAATAAACTATTAAAAAATAAAAAGATAATAAAAATTTTTAAAAATGGATGTACTTCTTAAAACAACTAGCAACAACAAATGTTGTATGTGAAGAAAAAGGAACTCTCCTGCACTGCTGGTGGGAATGCAAACTAGTACAACCACTATGGAAAACTGTTTGGTGGTTCCTCAAACTGCTAAACATGGAGCTTCCCTACGACCCAGCAATCCCACTCCTAGGTATCTACCCAAAAGACACAAAAACACTGATTGAAAAAGATACTTGTACCCCCATGTTTATTGCTGCTTTATTTACAATTGGAAAAACATGGAAGCAGCCCAAATGCCCAAAAGTAGATGACTGGATAAAAAAGATAAAAAAGATGTGGTACATATATACAATGGAATATTACTCAGCAACCAAAAAAGAGAAACACATGTCTTTTGCAGCAACTTGGATGGAGCTGGAAAAGATCATGCTTAGTGAGATAAGCCAGAAAGAGAAAGAAAAATACTGGATGGTTTCACTCATAGCAGGAGTATAATGGACCAGGCGAGAAAATAACAAAAATAATGAACAACCATATACCAGAGACATTTTGTGGGGGTGGAGTGGGGAATGGGGTGGGTGGGGGGAGGTAGGGAGGGAAATGCACGGGATTATGGTGATGGCACACGGGTGACTTGGTGATGGGAAACCCTCAGGGATTACAATTGAGATGGAAAAAAAATGTACAAAATGATGTAAAAATAAACTTTTGTAATAAAAAAAAAAGAAAAACACACACACACATACACAAAAATCCAAAGTTCAAGAACAGTACGACAGTAGTTTAATGGCAAGATAGTGTATGCATCCTCTGCATGGGCTACACTCCAAAGAGAAAAAGCTGAAGGCTTTAAGTCAACATTTACAATACTTACAGAGTTTATGTTCCAGGCACTGTTCCCAGTAATTTAGCTATTTTAACTCATTAAATCATCACTTTTAGGTAGATATTAATATTGCCCACTTTATATATAAGGAGATTGAAGTTAGGTAACTTGTCCAAGGCCACACAGTAAGTAGAATAACTGAGATTTAAACCAGTGGCTCCAGAGTCCACTAGCTCCAGAGTGCTCTTAACCATTAGTATAAATCAGGGTACCCAATTTAAGACACAACTTGTAAAGGAAATATTGGGGTGTTCTATGGTTATACAGCCTTATAGTGTGGTATTGTACTTATTGCTATTCACCTCAGATAGTCACTTTGCTCACTCTCAGTTTTCTGACCTGTAAAATGGGAATGGGGGATAAAGGAAGCACTTCCTCAAAAGGAAGTTAGAAAGACAATAATGATACCATGTATTAAAGACAGACTGAATGATATGATATATATTGAGCAATTCTTAACAGCTGTCCTGAAATACTATGAATACTCATTAAAGCTTAGGACTGGGAAGAGGAGGTAGAAGAAACTCACTGTGTCTAAGTTTCATCATGATAACCAGTTGAAAGCACGTAGGTTCAAGTTTGCAGACTTTCTTCCTGTAGGAATGAGAGAGAACCAATTTGAAGACAGAGGACCACAATTACACGAACCCCTTGAAAGCAAAACAAAATGTCCCCAAAATTTAGAGGAAATGGGAAGAGAGAAGGGGCAATTCTGCAACTAGAGTCTGATATGGTTAAGTCTACACAAGAGAAGGAAGCACCACAATACCCAAAATGAGGCAAGTTCTTAACCTCTCTTCCTCTAAGGAGTTACTGTCTCAGTGAATTAGATGGGGGTGAATGGTTCTCAATCCTCCAGCCTACAGTGTTACAAGAGCTAGGTAAGAGCCTAACATTAAACTCCACTATGCTGAGGGAAAGGAGGATGCAAGGAAGATCTATTTCTGCATACGGTGTGAATAGTTCCTCTTTCTCAGATAAGTGGTTCTGTGTCTTATCTATCCCAGAAGGGGTATGGAAAACAAATCCCAAGTATCAAGCCTGGAGGAAAGAGACCTCAGCACAGGGCTTTTAAAACTGTGTATCTATGTGGACTGAGATCAGTACAAAATCTTAGGAGAGAGGGAAAAAATCTGTGCCTGAAAGTGTGATCCATGTTGCCTTGGTGACCCGGACAAAGTGGAGGCACACGATGCCTTTTCTCACTCCACTGAGGTATAGAGAAACTGGGAAAAGCGTTACAGTGGTTGTTTGCATCTCTGTGGTATGTAAGAGAAGTGGGGTCTGAACATTTGTAGGCTGTACAGAGGTTGGTCCTGAGTCTCTTTACCCTAGAGAGGACTGCAGGTTGGGAATGAATGTTTGTCTCCAACATAAGATAGCAGTAGTGCCACACTATCACAGGGGGAAATATGCAGCTTTGCTTGAGTGGGGTGCATACACTGCCTGCAGTGAGCCATTCTAGACCATTCCACAGGATATAAGACGGGGAGGATCTGCCTACTTTTATATGGGCTAAAGTGAGCAGTGAGCTAAAATTAAAGGGAACGAGACCTTTGGTTTTCTGGGGGGGGGGGGGGGGGAGGGTTACTCAGCAATAAATTGAAAGAATCAGCTCCTACACTGGGAAGGAGAAGAGGGGTAACATGGGTGGAAAGAGATCTGAGCTGCTACCCCTTGGGTAGCAGAAGAGTCCACATGCGTGTACCATAGGGTGATCAATAATGTCACTGCCTCCCTACATTGCAAGGAGGAGCTGTGTGTCTCTGTTCCCTGGAGATCTCTTCCTTGCTACATTCAGAAATTCAGAATCCGGGGGGAATGAATGATCTGTGCCTAGCTCAAAAGGAGAGCAAATCTTAACCCCTGAGTGCGGGACATGAGGAGAGCAAATGAATAGTTTCTCCAGAATTAAGGTCTTTTCTTCCTTACTGCAGGGCATTTTGGGGGTCAAATCAGGCCTTTATAAATTCTGTAAACTAGTGTCTTTGTGGGGGGCAAGGGCGGAGTAGGTTCTGCTTTACCACAATGGGGATTTACTCTAGCCTAGGAGAAGGGGAAATCTGTGTGGTTCTGTAAGGCTCCAACCACTTGAGGGAGGGGGGGGCTCCATGGTCACTGCAGGAGCAGGGGCGGGGCCAGTTACTCTGGGATAAGAGTGGGAGGTTTCTACTTCTTGACAGGAATGTCAGGCAGTTTCCTCGCTGTGTATTACACCTCTGAGATCCTCTATTCTGAGGATCAAAGACTCTGTACTAAGGAAGGTGGAGGCAGGTCAGTGTGCCTTTGCACCAGCAGGGATCCACCACCATCCTTATGAGGAGGGGAGGAGGGAGCCTTATAAGGGTCGATGTCAGTCTACACCCGGGGAGTGAGTAAAGTGATCCTCACTAAACAAAAAGAGTGGAGGGCGACGGACTCTCTTCCACACAAGCGGGGTCTGTCACTATCTACACACCGTGTCCAGGGGTAAACACCTGTCTCGATGGGATGGGCTCCCCGCAAGAGTGCATCTGGGCACATCTCCACGTGCTAAGTGACTCCAGCCCCTAACCTAGGCCCTTCTACCTTGGAAGAGAGCCAGCTTTTTAGCTCTATGTTCCAGGATGAAGGACGTTTCTGGTTTTACCTCAAATAGACAATCTTTACCATGCGGCAAGCTGGGTGGGCGAGCGCACAGCAAGAGAAAAAAAGTCGTCTCTTACCTCCACTTCCGGCGGGGATCAGAAAGGAGAGGCTAGCACAACACAGCCGGCCCAGGCGCTGCGCTTGCGCCGCTGGACTCTGACTTCCGGCTCCCAGCCCTGGGAGGCAAGTGGCTCCGCCCGCCAGGCGTCTCGGCGGTGGGGGTGCTGATTGACAGCTCGAGCCGCCGGTCCCTTCCTGGCGGCCGCGCGGGCCCCGCCTCCAGCCTGCGGGGGAAGGTAAGGAAACCGCGGAGGAGGGAGGAGTGAAGCCGGGAAGCTGTAGGGGGAAGCGGCGATCCGCTTGTGTACTCTTAAAACTTGTGTGCCCAAGATCTTGCCCGCATGTGTCTGCCTAGGCCTAAATTTTGTGTTCCCGAATCTTAGCGAACAAGCCATCACCATAAGCGCATGAGACAATGGTGGGACTCAGTGTCTTTGTCTGCGTGGAAGATGGCGACTTGGAGGGTGTGAGAAAATGGCCGCCCGGGTCACATGTCTTGCCGAGTACTATCCACCTGAAGTGACTCGGCTAGCTGTTGCCAACAGCTGTTCCGGCGTGTGGGCCTTCAGACAAACCCGGAGGCAGCCCCTTTCAGCTTTTTATGTATTAGTGCAGATTCATGGCCAGCCCACACGGGTGGCATAACTGGAAGCTTTCACCCGTTTTTTACTGTCCCCTTCCTCTTCTCTATTTCCCTTAGGCCTCGGGGTGGCGTCTACGTTAGGGAATGGATTATCAATAGGATCGGGTAAGCAAAGATTTCTTAAGAAACCATCTCGAGGAACTCCTGACCTGGCTGGAGACATAAGGTCTCCCTTAAAAACTAAGTATTAGTCCAAAACTATATACCTATTAATAGTAGTAGTAAATGTACCTCCAATTCAGGTACATCCAAGCAGAAAATGAACCCCCGCTACCAACTGTCATACCTAACATACACAGGACTCCATGCCTCTACATCTGCGGAAGTCTTCTAACCTCTCAGAGATGCACAGAACTCTGGATCCCAGACTAGCCACTTTCACCTTTCCTCCTGGAGTTAGCATATTCTGTTTCTTTAAGATCTACTGCTTGTGGCTTCTGTGAACTTTCCCAGCTGGCTTAGAAACTCAGCACTTTGTCAGACTTATGACTTAATACTGTAATCATTTATGTGACTGTATTTCCACAGGAGAGTAAAGTCCCTAAGAGCGGTATAACTTGGATCCCTCAATAAGACCCAGTACAAGCCTAGAACAAGGCAGGCAGGCCTCAGCAAATTTTTGCTAAATCTGTATTTTAGGCCAGCACCACAAGTCGTTGGTAAATAGACATGTTAATAGATAGCATAAGGAGAAAAATAAGTTTATCGCTACTTACTTCCACATAAGATGTTGAAGAATATCTTTTCACCTACAATTCAGAAAGGCTTTTTCACACAAAGATTCAAAGTTATAAGAGAAAAATGAGAGATAGTAGATCTCCCCTAGACTTTTAAGTACCAGAGAAATTCTGGTACATATGCACAGGAAGCATGTGCAAAGATATTCACTGCAATGGGAGAATGAATAAATCATGATACAACCATACAGCAGAATACTACACAACAGTGGAAGTAAATGAACCAGACTTGCTGTATCAACCCAGATAAACGTCGGGACCACATGATGAGATAAAATAGAAATTGCAGAGGATACATGAAGTATGACACTATTTATATAGATTTTTAAAAGCTAGAAAACAATGTACTGTGATGTATATACAGTATATAGATTCATAAACAATATTTTGTAAAACAATGGAATTGAATCCAGCTGCAGAATGGAGATTACCCAACGGGGGAATAAATACAAAGGAACAAAATGAGACAGAGAACACAGTGAACTTCAAGTGTTTGTGGAATATTTTATCTGAGCAATAAGTACATGGATATTATATACACTGTTTTTATATTATTCTCTGTAATTATTTGTAAAGACTGAGAAATTACAATAAAATTAATGCTGATTAGGGCCTCCCTGGTAGTGCAGGGGTTAAGTCTCTGCTCTATCAAGCATTGGTGGCTGAGTTCAATCCCTGATCAGGGAGCTAACCCACATGGCTCAACAAACTTTCCTGTGTCACCTGCTGCTCCCCACTCTCTTTGGTGAATCCTCTCACCCCTCCCCCCAACCCCACACTTCTGGCCTACATCCCAGTTCTTGTTTACATATTACATAAATAAATAAAACAAATCCTTAAAAAATAAATGGTGGGCCCTCCCTGGTGGCACAGCGGGTTAAAGCACTGCACTAAGAAGCTAAAGCCACTTCTGCATGAGTTCGATCCCCGCCTGCCCTGGAGGTGACCACATGGCATGGCAGACCTCTGCTGACCCGCCTGCTGCTCCCCTCAGCAGTGTACTTAGTCTAGCTGCCTGTTCTGCTCCCCACTCTGTGTGTGGGGAATCCTCTCACCGTCCCTGCACCTATGGCCTGTACCCAGTTCTGTATCCATAAATAAATAAATTTTAAAAATAAATAAATAAATGGTGATTAAATCTATACTAGTGATTCTCAGACTTTGGCCTGCATCAGCAACAACTGTGAAAACACCAGTTATTGGGCTCCACCCCCAGTTACGTTTTGGTCAATCTGGTGTAAAGCCCAGGAATTCAAATCTTCAAGTTCTCCAGTGATGATGATGAAACTACTGCTGCTAAAACAGGTTATTACATTGTGAGAACTACTAACAGAAAATGAAAATATTGGTGAATTTAGTTTCCTATCTGTGTTTTCTCAATATTCAGTGAATATGTATTATTTTAGGGAGAGGTTTTTGTTGCTTTTAAATTGGCTTTTATGTCTACTTCCAACTGTCATTTCCCTACTGCATGCAGCCATTCTAAGCTGTTTCATGCATATCCTTTTGTTTATATGTGTTCTTGAAAAATGTGTATTATTGTTTTCAGTGCATGTATTTCACCAAAATTTTTGTATTTTTCAACTTTTAAAAATTCAGTGAAAGCGGGCCCTCCCTGGTGGTGCAGCGGGTTAAAGCACCGCACTGAGAATCTAAAAGCCGCTTCCGCATGAGTTCGATTCCCGCCTGCCCCGGAGGTGACCACATGGCGTGGCAGACCTCTCCTGACCCGCCCACTGCTCCCCTCAGCAGTGTGCTTCGTCGATCTGCCTGTTCTGTTCCCCACTGTCTCTGGTGAAGCCTCTCACCGCCCCTGAACTTCTGGCCTGCACCCCAGTTCTGTATGCACAAATAAATAAATCTTTAAAAAAAAAAATTCAGTGAAAGCCCATATACCTTTGCCAGATTTGTTCTACTTCTCTTTATATGCATATATATACATTTTATTTTGGTGAACCATTTGAAACTTGAAGACAGTATAATACTTTACCTCTAATACTTCAGCAGGCATCTACGAAAATAAGGACATTCTCCTACATAGCCACAAAACCATTATCACACCTATCAAAATTTAATAATAGGTTAATAATTACAGCAAATATAGCCTATCTTCAAGGTTTTCATTTGTGCCAAAAGTGGTTTTAGATCTGCTTTTAGTTTTTTTTTAAACTTTTTTTATTTTATACATATTTTTACATCATTCTTCATTTTTGGACAATGTATACTTTTTCATCTCAGTTGTAGTTGGTCTTACTTTTTGATCCCAGGAGCTAATCAAGATTAAAAGTATCCACATATGTTCTATGTTTTAAATTACACTATTTTTGAAGAGTCCATGCTTAGAATGTCCCACATTCTGGATTTGCCTGCTCTTTCCACATAACTAGATTCAGATTAAATATTATCAGTAATAATACATATAGTACCTACAGAAGAGTAGATACTACTTACTTCATATTGCCTCAACCTTAGGAGACACATCATAATAAGGTTGCCACTTTGGAGGATACTCTGTGTGTGTGTTTAGTTAATATAAATGGTATCTTGCATTCTCTCATTCTAATTCTTAATGTTTTTTATTCAACCTCGTATTCTTTAAACTTAAAGACTTATTTATTTATGTATACAAAAAGTGGAGTACAGACCAGACATGGGAGGAGTGAGAAGATTCACCAGAGACACAGTGAGGAGCAGAACAGGCAGACTGACTGAAATACACTGCTGGGGGGAACAGCAGGTAAGTCAGGAGAGGTCTGCCAGGCCCTGTGGGTAACCTCCCCTGCCAGGAATTGAACTTGTTCTGCAGTAGCTGCATTAGCTTCATAGTCCGTGCTTTATCCCATTGTGCCACCAGGGAGGGCCCTGGGATGGTTACACCAGTCCACTTACCATCAGCATGCAAACATCCCTGTATCCCTACATCCTCACTAACTTTTGACATTTTCCAGCTTTCTAGTTTTTGCCAGTCCATCAACAGAAAGTTAATAGTGTGTTGTAATTTGCATTTCTCTGACCACTATAAAAATTTTTGACATCTCCTCACATGTGTGTTAAATGCCTCTTCTGTACTGCCTGCTTATATAATATGTCCATTTTTTTTCTGTTGTTTTTCTTCCTATCTTTCCTATTAATTTGCTAAATTTCCTTATAAAGTATATATAAGGGATATATAAGGGACATGTATATATAAAAGGGATATATGTGTATATATATATATATATCTTATATATACTTATATATAAGGGATATACTTCCTGTCAGTTCCAGACATTGCAAATAATTTCTTCCTATTTTAAATTTGAACAGAAATTATTTACTTTGATATAGTCAGATTCATTAAATTGGGGGGTTTTCAATTCTTTTTAAAGAGTAAGTCCCTGCTAGATCACAAAGATATTCTAGTTATTTTCCATAAACTTTATAGTTTTTCCTTTCACCTTTAGGTTTTAATCCATGTAATCCATTCTCACATGTGGTGATATAGGTAGTTATGCAGTTTTATTGTTTCCACATCATAAGCCATATTTCCTACCATCAAATACTAAACAATCCATCCATTTTCCTTAAATTCCCATGCTATCTTTTTCATATATTGTGAAGCATACACACAGGTCAGTTTCTGTTCATGAACTAATATTTTGTGATTTATGTTAATATCTCATAGGACAAGTCCTTGCTCTTTAGGTTCAGCTGTATCTCTACATAAATTTTTTAAAGATTCACTTATTCATGCATAG